TCCACTGGCACATAGACAAGTCAGTAATTTCTCCGTCGTGGCTGCCCACAAGTTGGACCCCGTCAATCAACTTCTCGATGGGGCATTTAAGGGGTTCCTCGGCTGAAATTTTTTCACCTTTTCCAACTTTTGTAGTATCAATCTTCAAAACACGTCTCCCAATCGCAACTACAAGAACTTCCTGTTAAGCCAAATTAGATGGTCAACAAAAAAAACCCAAGTAAAATAAAATTCAGTTTCTAAAACCAAAAAATTGAATATATTATACTTGTTTATGGCAATGCCAACAAATTCTGGGGTGAACAGATTTCCCTTCTCCAGTAATTTGAATCGCAACAATGATCCTTCCACTAATTTGAGGCTTGTCTTCTTCATCCGGACCTTCAGTAATCTTCCAGACATAAACCCGGCCATCCACGCTTGCACTGTATCCAAGCAAATTAGTAAACTAAGACCGAACCAAAATATGAATATCACCCAAAAAAATGACAAAGGGCTACCTAGCCAAAAGGGGAACATCCTCAGCAAAGAAAGCCATGTCTGTTACTCTCTGGAAGAAAATACATTATTCAATCAATAAATCAAGGCTATGTCATAATGTCATTTGAACTATGCAGAAACAAAAAGATTTAGCTATGAACTCACTAGTATAAAATCAAATATCAATCAGTTGATTTGTAAATTAACAATTCCAGTGGATATGAAAAAAGATGAACTACACAGCAATTTACAAATAGTGTTGATACCTGAGTTAGACCCTTGAGCAACGATCTCAAAGCAGTGTTGATATTGAGCACACGTATTGCACCCAATTTGAGACCGTAACATATATAAGTTTTATTAACTGCGATTTGCCTTCCCACAACAAGTCCGGGATCAGAGGCATATTTTGTAATGGGAGTCACCTCAAGCTGAGGCTGCACCTCTCCCGGAAACCTAACATTAATGTCGTAAACCAAACGATCCCCAATCAGATGCCGCCCTTTTGGAGGCTTACTGCTCGGCATCCGCATCACAGGCGACTGGTGCGACATCACTGTATTTTGTAACGGCAAGTTGTTCATATTCTGTGGCACCGATAAGTCAGATCCAGTAGATGAGGTTGGATGGATCTGGGGCATAGGCATGGCGGGCTGCTGCATAATTTCAAGGGTGGAAGCAGGTGCACTCAGCAACGCCATCAAACGAGCACCATGGTTAATAGGGTTTTGGAGATTAGGGGAATTCTGGAAATTAGAGTGCTGAGGCATAGGTGCTTGCCCTTGGGGCTGGAGAGTGGGCGTAGGATAAGACATGGACCTCTGAGGCTGCGCGTTGTCGATTTCATGGTGGGGCGGCGGCGGCGGCGGAGAATTGGAATAGGCGGTGTACACCTGAGGTTGGTAGTGGAAAGGCGACGGTTGATGGGGGTAGACAAACGCGCCGCCGGAGGAGACGGTGGGCGGAGGGTAAGAAGCCGAAGGGGGTGGGAAAGGAGACGAAACGAAATTAGGGTTAGGCAGAGCGTTGCTAATATTATTGACGATGAAGTGCTGGGGATTATTAGGGTTAGAAGGAGGAACGGAGGTAGGCGGCGGTGGTGATGGATGAGTGGAAGGGCTGAACAACCTCTGCACGTCGAATTGACCTCCGCCTGGTGGATTCTGATTGGCAGGGGAAGCCATCTCCACCGCAACCCGGAAATGGCAAATAATCCGTTACTAGCTCGTCGGAGATTGTCTCCGGTGAGGCAGATCTCGAAGATTTGACCGTTAATCGGAAGCTGACTGTGTGTGTGTGTGTGTGTGTGTGTGTGTGTGTGTTTTTACAGTGTATGTAATCGGCCCAGGTGGAGAGTGTGTACTCGGTGACCGGTGGTAGTGACGGAAGATTATTGGGAGTTGGGAGAAAGTCTTTTTTATTTATTTATTATTATTATTATTCAATTATTTAATTAAATTTCTTGTTAACAAAACAAAGTGATATAAAACTATATATACTATGGATCTGAATCGTACTTGATTTTGAATTTATTAAATTGACTGGATATGTTACTTTTATAGGGTAAGTTAGCAACTATGTGATTGAAAATGCATTTGGTGGTACATAATATTATTTTGTTCAGTTAAGTATCTATCTTCTTTGATTATGATTAGCTTCATTGTATTGCATTTTTTAATGAACCCGAATTCTGAAGATTAAATACGAAGACCTGAAGTCTCGATCGATTATGTTAAGACTTAAGACTCCAAATCTAAGCGTCAACGCACGGAGAATGACTAACGATCTTATCGTTAAATATAAACGATAGGTACAATTATTTTTAGAAAGTGGAGATCTTGAATTGAAACTCATAAATGTAAGTATATATACATAGATATGTATTGCCCATACAATTAAAGAATTATAATTACGAAAAAATTCCTTCTTTTGAGAAATTACATCCAGCTCCAGCAGTATGTGAATTTCTTACATCCACCCCTACTAAAGGTTGTTAATAATGTAAGAAGTCTACACATATCGCAAAGGGGTGGATGTAATTATGGGGAAAGAAAAGGACTTTTTCCTAAATAGGCAAAGTATTCAAATTGCTTGATATGTGTGAAAAAGCGCACAAAGATGCAAAATTGCATATCAACAGGGGTATTATCCAAATCTGTAGACATTTGCAGGCCATATGTAAAAAATAAGACATTAAACAAAACTCTACACAGTTCTTTTTCTTCCCTAGAATTCTGTACAACCCTTACAAAGTCAACGTTGAAGACCTCGATCAAATAAAACAGGATTGGGATAAAATCATTTAGAGGTCATTAGCATGGAATTGATGACATGCATTATCAACCGGATATTGGAAATTTCTGCACCGCTGACTGTCGGAAGTGTTCGGTGGTTGTGCAGTATTTGATACACTTGCTCGAAGATTGGACGTACGTGGACAACGATAAGTGGGTCCGTCGGATTTATAGCAGAAAGAACCTCTCTCATCCACGTCAGCTTCCGAGGTGTTTCTTTGATGATGTCACAAGCCAACTGTTGTAGAAGAGAGAGAAGTACACCTTGGCTCACAGGTAGTGGATTCATCGACAGAATTCCGGGTAAATCGACCTGGTTTAAGTTCAAAAAATTTATTCAAGAAAAATTAAAAACATGGATTTGACTTATTAATTAAGATGGTTGGTGAAAAAACATACCTGAGTGCATAACCATGATACTATATTAACATCACTCCTTTGCAGAGCGGTAGTGAAAGCCTCTTCGTATTTACGCTCAGCTGTCAGCCTAGATAGCTCTTTCGTAGGATCAAGGGGTACCTCGACCTACAAAAATGAGATATTATATCAGAATTAATATTTTTCAAGATTGATGTCACTCCCAATGAAATCCAAATAAACAAGAGCAAACCTTGTCGTGGAGAGAACCCAATGGACCGTTAGTCAGTTGACTAACCAACGGGTTTGTTGCTTTAGAATTTGCTCCTGCAACAGCAAGGGCTACCAATTTTCTTTGACCGTCGAGAATCTCACTGTTTAAAGTTTGAGTCATTGATGAAGCCGAATTTACAGCATCCTAAGATAATTAAGCTTCAATTAGTTTAAGTTTGTCCTTGAAGTAGCGATTAAAAGAAACATTAGCGTAACATTGTAATGATATTTATACCCTTAACGCAATTGCCAATGGAGAATGTGAGGCCTCGAATTGTTGCTGAGATGCGGCTGTATGTTCAACCATGCCTTTCTGAAATGTGGCATCAACTTGCTCAAACATAGCCCTGCATGACATCTCAAATGCTGGAACCACAGAAACTTCCAAACTAGATTTCAGTGTTTCCTGCATAACAAATTAAATTTAATATTCAATAGTATATCATATAGGCAGGCTATTATATAGGAGGGAGGGAGTGATGTAGGTACTAACAAGTTGATAAACAAACATCCAAGCATAGAAACTCAATTATAAAGATCGTGTGAAGTGCACAAAAGTACATTAGAAAGATTTGCAGGAAATCTTGGCAAAAGCAAATGTGAGTTTAGCTTTCCACATATTCATGCTGGCAAATAGTGATTTCATTCTTTCGACTCGCAGCAAATATCAAAATGTAATGGACGTAATATCTTCATATAAAGTACTTTAACTACACTAAAGTTTCATTACGAGTTACGACCACCCCTAAACGAAAAAAAAATATATCTCTTGAACTGTACCTGAAGAGCTTGCTTGCCAGAAGTTTGAAATTGAGCTTGGATCTGCCTAGCAACAGTGGCTTCAAGTTTAGAGTTGACAGACTTCTCCAGTTGATTTACAGCTTTATCACCTACCCCTTTCTGTTCATATAAATCGGGTAAGATCAGGCACAGCTTAGATTAATATGTGGCACACAAACAAAGACAGTTGAATATGCTAACCTGGAAGCTCTCTGTAATGGAAGTGGATATTGTTTTCTCAATATTGGGAATAATAGCCCGTGTCACAGATTGCACCACAGCGGCAAGTTCTCTTTTGACAGTTTTCTCTATGATTGCCGGTAAATCTTTGTTTAAGCAATTGCTAATCGTATTTGTTAATTGTTGCATACGTTCACGTGCGGCCTTGTCCTGTTTTGCATTTTCTTCTTGAATTCGAGCCCACAAAGCATCAGCATTGGCTTTGACAGATTTCTCCATACTCTTTCCCAAAGCTGCCTCGAGCCTTTTGCTTTCTTTGGTAACTGGGTCAGCAATTGTTGTTGCCATCTGCTTCTGCATTTCTTTTTGCATAGATACAACCTGCAAAAGAACACACATGACACATGATCGAGTGTGATGCAATTGTTTATCAAAAACAAATCCAACTGCAATGGAGAATTCACTGCAGATGGCGAATAGCTCCGACAAGCGCTGAGCCTTGGCTACTAACCAAATATTGTCATAATATTCAAGTCGATAGTAGGCAAGACTACAAGTCTACTACTACTCAAGAAATAATACAGATATTTAAGATAGAGATAGAGAATTAGTTGAGTTCAAAAACAAGATTAAAATGCCCAACACATAAGCTAGAGGTTATTATAGATCATGTAAGTCAACACCACTGATATAACAAATATGAAGAAAGGATAAAAATCAGTGTAAGTTCTCAACCGAAAGGATAAAAATCACCTGATTCAACATCTGTTGCATGGAAAATAGTTGCGGGAACACACTTTCTACAGAATTACTAGAGCTGACACCTGGTTCGTTAGACGAATCTGTTGCATTCAAAGTGATGGGTGCCGGTGAAGATGAGCCTGATCCTTGAGCATTCTTTCCCTTCTGTTTTTTCCCTTTTGCATTGGGTGCAGGCTGCTGTTGAGATGGCAAAGGACTTGGTGACTCAATAACTTTTCCAGAAACATCCTTTAAAGAATCGTTGACTTTTTCTACAGTTGACGATTGAGCAATTGTTTCAGGTTCACCAGTCTCATTAAACTCCCGAGCTTCCTCAATGGTATAAGTTTCAGGCAACAAGGCACGAGATTCTCGAGCCACCTCGATTCCGAGATCAGATGCTTGTGAGAAAAATGATTTTTCCTTGTTTTCTGAAACATAAGTCTCAAGTTCTTCTTGAGGACCAATGTCCTTATTTTCACTACATCTTGTTTCACCCACAACTTGTACCTCAACCTCGACATTCCTTGTATCATTGTTAATTACCACATCTTGAATATTTAGTTCAACATCACTTTTGCCCTCATTACCATGGCTAACTTCGGAGGTTGAATTGGCCATCAATATTTCAGAAGGAGTTACCAAATGAGTGGGGTGTTTGAATTTAATTGGTTGATTGACGCCTGTGGAATCATCTTGAGAAAGTTTATGGTCATCATTCCTTGAACCATCGTCCACTGAAGCAACATCAGATGTGTTTGTATGAACAGCATCCATTTGTCTGTCAACTGAATATTCATTAACTGAAGGACCATGATCAAAGCTGCTCAATGGACTCCTAAAGCCAGAAAGTGTTTTTGACAACCTAGGGCTCAAAGGAAATCCAGGAGAAGTAGCAGAAGAAATGTCCTTATTATTAGCAACCTCAGACAAAGGAACTAGTTTGGAGTCTGTACTTGAGGAAGCAAACTCCTGTGGCACGGGCGACTCAAGAGCAGGGTTAATTGGGTATCTGACAGTAGATGCACTCTCAAAGCCACTTTCATTTATTGATACTTTGGGTGCTGAATTAGATATAAATATAGCCACTTGTTTATCACTAGAGGGGTCCACATCAGAGCGCCCTTCAGCACTAGCAGCATCCAGCGACACAACAGAGTCTAATTTCTCATTTACGGCATTTTCTATTGGGGGTGGCAAACACTGTGACAAGTCTAAAGCATACTGCTGAATTGCCTGCGTCTGGACACAATATACCTGAACAACTTGTTCACCATGAGGCAGTGACTCACTTGTCCCTGTAAAACTCAGTATTGGTATAGTCACAGTAAATTCAGCTATGTAATCCATGCGGGTGGCTGCAGGGTTAGGACCATATTCCAAGTGCACCGCATAAATAGCATTCCTTTTGGCATTTGCCAATAAAAGAAGACCAGCTTGTGACAATGCTATTACTTGATTGAAGAAAGCATCTTCAACCCGAACCTCTGAACTCCTCAATTCCAATGTTTGAGTACAATGCCATGATTCAGCGTCACTAGGAAGCAACCAGCCTTCTTCACTTGTCGATACCCAGATTTTCATTTCCCGATTCAGTGGCCCCTGAAAATGTCCTTATAAAATTGAGTGCAGTAGTACAATAATTGAAAAGCCAGCAATCAAAAAACCTTCTTAAGTGGAAGTGACGTCAAACAGCTCCTTTGGCCAAGACATATTTGTAGTTAACACTTAAGACAACTCTATAAAAGATATTACATTAACGTTGAAAAACTCATAATGTATGTACCCCTGTGATAAGTATGATATGATCAGGGCGA